CAAATTTTTTAAAAAGTTTAATCATAATATATATATATATATATATATATATTAATAAATTGATTAAAAAAAATATATATAAAAAAATATTCTTTCTACTTAATTATTGTATACATTAATTAAAAAAATTAAAATAGTAAAGATCATAAGATTGAATACATTAATTAAAAAAATAAAAGAGGAAAGATTGAAATATTTATGTTCTATTTATAATTTTTATTATAAAATATGTTTTAAAATAAATTATCATCTCAAAATTTATATTAGATATTAAAAACATGTTTATATCATAAATAAATTAAACTTGATTTTATAAAATTTAACATATTTATTTTTATATTTTTATTAGTATTAAATTATCATAAAGAAAGTCTTTAAAATTGTAATTCTAACCAAATATTTAAAAAATGTTTATGATAGATAAATAAGAAATTCATATTTAGAACATGTATTTTTAAAGAAGGTTAGGTCCAAACCTACTAAATTATAATATAACCTAGTCTGACCTAGTTTATTTTCATCCTTAATCATAATCGTAGATATAAAAATTTGTAAAAAATAATTATAATATATATTTATACTTTTAAAAGTTATACGTAAAATTTTGAATACTACAAATATATGAATAAATATTATTACCCTCATTATCTAAAATTTCTGAATCCGTCACTGATGATAGGCACCCTAGGATTAAATCTATAGCACTGGAGAGAACAAGAATGAACTTGGAGGTCCATAACACATAAAGAGAATTGTCTTTGATAGACATCAATAATATCTTCTTACATGTTAAATTGCATGACATGGTTATATGCACTAGCCACCATGTTTAAGTGTTCATGGAGCACCTGAGTAGTATGCCTAATATGATAGACGCCCATATATCATTGGAAGCCCAAACACTTTAGGGACACTCAGGCCCAAGAGGATTACTCAGAAGTCCACTTGGCTCAATAGTCCAGTTCTTGAGAACATATCTGTCGCATAAGCTCCCAAGATACAACGGGACTTCCCAACAATGGAACTATATTCAATTATGGTGGAATATCTCATTGACCGTTTGTAATATCTCATTTTTATAACAATATTTTTATTGTTATGTGAAGACTCACTTGAGTTACCTGAGAAGCTAGACATTGCTCTAGAATCATCACTAGAACTTTCTCCTTTCACTGATGTGGTTCATTTTCACCTTGTGCACCAAGTATCATCAACAAAAAACCATATAGATACCCTCATTCACAAAAAGCTATCATCTAATGGGAGGCTGATCACTTCATTTTCTTGTAGCACTCTTCACTTGCCCTTTGTGTTCTTCTTGTTGGTATTTCCTACCTGAAGCAACATACATCACACCACTTATAAACCAAAAATTTGAGCATTCTCAAATATATTTTTGGAGATTGAAGTTTCTCAATCTAATTGAAGCATTTCCGTCCCCTATAGAATATTTGAACATACTAAGAAATAAGAATCATACATGTAGTGCCAACCTAATGATACTAAAGTGGATCAAAATATCACACTATTACTGGATGAAGGGGAGCCTCTAACTCACCCAAGAAGATACAACAACCTAACATTTAACTGTAATTGAACCTTTCATCCTTCATCATCCCATTATTTTTTGTTGTATGTAAGCTTGTTCATCATGCTATTTTTTCATACTATGGTGGTTGTAATTTTTTTAGATTTAGACTTTCTTATTCATAAACATTGTGCCTATTTTCATAGGGGTAACATATAATTAACTTCTTGTACTTTGTAGGCCGGCCATCATGTGCAGGAAGATTGTGGTGAGGAAGTTGGACAACTTATTTGTGGGATAATAAGCAAAAGGAACAAGATATGAGGATATTTTCTCATTGCGCCTTGATATGCTCAAAACTTTTGTTTCATCGGTTCCTATCTTTCTTCTTGGTCTCTATCCTTTCGATAAATCTTGATTCAGTGTCAATCTTGCTCTGCAGAAATGTGCTTTTTCAAAAGGTAAAGAATATATTCTATTGGAAGTGTATCTTCTTCAAGTCTCTCTTGTCCAAACTTCATTTGGCAGAGTACTCAAGGAAGAAGAAAATTTCTTAAAAAGGATTGTAAAACCTAAAACTTTCCTTTATAGAATCGTAGTAATTTGTTCTCTTTGACACAGTAAAATTTTAAAGTGATGTTTCTTCAAAATGGACGTCAGATAAATGAGGAGGAATGCTGGCAATTAGGCCTGTTCTAACATTTTATGGGCCCGAGCAAAATAATAAATAAGAACGCATATATATATATATATATATATATATATATATATATATATGTAGT